TTTCAGCAAGAATAATTACAAATTATTGTTTGTTTGTAATTAAGCACAAAGTTACACGATGGGCTATCTGTGCTCTGCCCACCACGGGTATCGAAACCCGGATTCTAGCGTTGGACGTCTGCAGACATACCGCTGTGCCACGGGGGGGGGGGTTGAATATTTTATTGTTTGTAGTTATGCGCAAAGCTACACAATGGGCTATCTGTGCTCTGCCCATCACGGGTATCGAAACCCGGATTCTAGCGTTGGAAGTCCGCAGACATACCGCTGTGCCACAAGGGGGCTACAAATTATTACCTTTCTGTGAAAATTATTTTACTCTCTAGCTTTCATATATTAAAAGTTTGTATAAGTATTGCTTGGGTTATTGTTTTCTTTCTAGCCCTTTGGGAATCTAACCCCGGATTTTAGTGTTATCAGCCCTTAGACTTACCGCTTATTTACTCGGGATGGATTTTTTTTTTGTAAGAGGAACAAAGTTTTTTAATTACTTGAAACTCACAGAGCCCTCCCCCCGAAAAAAGAATAAATGTATACTTTTCCCTAGTTGATCGAAGATATAAATACCCCTTACTTATCTCAAGTATTTTAGTTGCTTATCTATAAATCTTACTACGTTTTTTTTTTTTTTTACAATAAACAATTTTATCAATGTTTATAACTTACGGGTGTATGTTTTTAATACATCTACATACGTTCTGCAAACGGAACAATCCAATCAATAGATTTATCTAAGCGAATGTCTGATTAACAAGCTGAACTCATATTATTCGTAATTTGTTCACAAATAAAATTTTATCAACCCACGCCAAAATTCAATTATACATATAGAGACATTTAGATCTTACCGTATTAGATCAGTGGTGGAAGAGAAATCATGCCAGTACTGGGTCAAAAAAAGAGGATAAACTTGTTGCACCTGAGTATTGCCTCAACGGACCTAACGTTGTCTTCTCAAGAAACAAGCAGCGCTTAAGTTGTGAAAAGGGGGTGCCGTTAGGTGGGGTAGGGAAGGGAAGAGAGGGCTCAGACTTCTCACTAGATGCAGGAGGAAAACGATGCTGGGGCTTTGTACTGTGATCGTACAGAGTGTTAAACCAAGTTGGCCACTCTCGATCTGATGTTATTTCGGTAACCTAATCACCAGGCATCATTTTCAACTGGCGGCCAAGTAGACTAGAATGTTGAATAGCTGCAGACCAATCCCATCAAGAGATATTTGTCACATGTCGACCAAGAGGTTTTCAGCTTATTTTAACACGTGTTTTGATGACTCAAGCTGTTTTTTTTCGTCAATAGAGGCCAGATGTAACCTAGAACTCTAAACAATCAAGTGCAAGTGCGTCATACACACACACACACATACACAAAAATCACACACTCTTCAACAGGGCGACACCGGGCACTTACGTGACATTTACTATTATATACGTGATGTGCGAAACCTAGTGTGGGTATGTGTGAGTGTTATATAGTCTGAAACAATTTCAACCTATGCTTATGTGAAATACTGATGACTTCGTCCTGCACAACATGAAATACTCGAAACTTGATTCCGGTCAAACCTTTTCAGAGATAACCGGAAAGGCTGTCGAATATCAGAATTCGCGTAGGCTATAGAAATTTAATACGTTAAGAACGAATACTAAACCCAATATATGTGTGTACCTATGTATATATTTTATGTGATGCATATCATTAAGTTTGTCAGATTACACTCAAAGGAAATTAAATATATGTAATACGATATCGGACAAACCTCATTAAATTCGTTCTTGTCAGTTTTTTAGACCTTTTCTAGTTTTAATGAGTATGATTCATCCAAAGAAAATTGTTTATACAGAAAAACACCATAATGTACTTCTCTTATTTTACAGATAGTTATTTAACTAAAATAGTACTACTACTAATAATATTTCTTAGAAATACTTTGCAATTAGTTTTAAATCTATACATTTCTCTTGCCGAAAACTTGTAGGATGTTTAATTAGAAGTATATTTTTTTTTTCAAAATTTGCATCGTCAATTTTGTGTATTTTTTCGAATCACACATTTTTGCCTTATAAGCCCTGAAACTTATCGCTTACACACCGTGGTTGAAATATGGGAACAACATTAAAAGCAATCTGGAAAACTACACATTACTTCCCTCTCGCTCTTTATGCGTATTTTGCATTTGCTGCCTTCCCTGAAATGCTTGATTTCCTCTTAGATTTGCATATTTTTCTTTCTTTACTGTACGGTTTTGGTTATTGTTTCCATATTGTTGCCCGGCATGGCCAGATGGTTAGGGCGCTCGACTCGCAATCTGAGGGTCGCAGGTTCGCCCTTTCAGCCGTGGGGGCGTTATAATGTGACGGTCAATCCAATTATTCGTTGCTAAAAGAGTAGCCCAAGAGTTGGTCTTACAATGCCAAATTAGGGACGGCGAGCGAAGATAGCCCTCGTGTAGCTTTGCGCGAAATTCAAAAAACAAACAAACAATCCATATTGTTGTATAACAATGCCATTTGTCGGCAACAGGCAGATGTTTTTGGCACATTGTAAAAACTGTTTGAAATCGGATAATGAGAGTACAAAAAGTCAGCTCATTTTAATGTATTCAGGTCCGTAGTAGGTTCTTTGTGGACATGCTAAAGGAAAACGGGCCTGTATACTCTAGACAATTTGGTACAAGGTCATGAAAGGTCAACTATGCACCAGACAGTGTTTGATATCATACAGCATGACTGTTAGGAATTACCAGTCTGGATTTTGAGAGGTCAACTGGTGCAATTGTAATCGACCAATTAGAAAGGGACAGACTCTTTGAACCCAGCCTTAAGGTCGAGGAAATCTACTCCAGTCTCTCAAGAAGTATGTCTCGTAGTTCCAGAGATGTTGACTGAGTTTACTGAATTAGAAAGGGACAGACACTTTGAACCAGCCTTAAGGTCGAGGAAATCTACTCCAGTCTCTCGAGAAGTATGTCTCGTAGTTCCAGAGATGTTGACTGAGTTTACTGAATTAGTTGCACACCCTTTTTTAGGACATAATGAAATTTATAAAATTATGATCTAAATATGGTTCTAGGTTTTAGTGAACTTTATAGAACCAAGTATTCGTAGTTAGTAATTTGACATGAGAAGTTACAACTTTATAGAACCAAATATTCGCAGTTAGTAATTTGACGTGAGAAGTTACAACTTTATAGAACCAAGTATTCGCAGTTAGTAATTTGACGTGAGAAGTTACAACTTTATAGAACCAAGTATTCGTAGTTAGTAATTTGACATGAGAAGTTACAACTTTATAGAACCAGGTATTCGTAGTTAGTAATTTGACGTGAGAAGTTACAAAGCAGGGTGATTAAACTGGAAATTTGGACATCAAGAGTTAACCGACTTTAAAACATTTGGTGTTCAGATTTGATGATTCGATCTTATATGTTAATGGAATGTTTAGGATCTGGTTGGTACTCACGATCAGTATTTTGACAATAAATGTTAACGATATTTATAGAATTGAGCATTTAGAAAGGATATGATCTGTAAAACAGACGTGCACATTGAATAGTTTGACAAGAGATACTAAGAAACTTTATAGAATCGAGTGATTAGACGAGCTGTTCTAACATATATATTAATCGACCTTATAAAATCATGCGCTAAAAATGAATGCTCTAATATCTAATGTTCATATATTTTTAGAACCTCCTGTTCGTACTGAATGTTCTGAAAGCAACCGTGAAGATTTAAAGAGAAGATGATTTCAAGTGTTCATGGTTTGTGGATGTTTAAATATCATTTAAGTGTCAATATAAAACAGTTTGTTTTACATAAAGACTAATCTAAGGTTCACTATAACTATTTTTTTATAAGTCGGTAAGCATCTTTCGCTGACATTTGCTACCTAACCTGAGAACAGTTGGGCCAAGCTAAGTGAACACGAACGTATTATGAAGTTAGACATATTTCGCTGACATTTTCTACCTAACCTGAGAAAAGTTGGACCAAGCTAAGTGAATAAGAACGTATTATGAAGTTAGACATATTTCGCTGATATTTGCTACCTAACCTGAGAACAGTTGGGCCAAGCTAAGTGAACAAGAACGTATTATGAAGATAGGCATATTTCGCTGACATTTGCTACCTAACCTGAGAACAGTTGGGCCAAGCTAAGTGAACAAGAACGTATTATGAAGTTAGACATATTTCGCTGACATTTGCTACCTAACCTGAGAACAGTTGGGCCAAGCTAAGTGAACAAGAACGTATTATGAATTACTAAAATTTTAATTCGCCAGTTCTGTTTTAGATCTTTGATTGTAATAACTTGAAGTTTGTGAGGTTTATAAACCATGAACATACTTGTGTAATGAGTGAAGGATCTATATAAAAAGTATTTTGAAGATACTCACGTAGCACACATACAATGGAGTTATATTACTTCTTATAAACGCTTACCTTGGCATTAATGCTAATTTTCTTAGCGCTAATATATATATACAGTTTGTGGTTCAAACGTTGAAGCATTTTTGAGATATTTTGGTAACAAGCACAGCACACACAAACACATGTGATTAAATTTATTACCTCACATATACCTGATAATAATAAACTATTTCATAAAATGGAAAATATACATTGTTTTTCAACCAAATGAACAACAGAGTTGTAATAAAATATATTATTTGAGGAGCATTATTTATTCAATTCACTCATATATTTACCTATGCCTCGCGAAACACAAATTCAAAGTGGTCAGCTTAGTCTCATTAAATGAACTTATCTGAAGGATTTTCATTTAATAAAGAAACAATTAATAACAACTATATATGACCCCTCTTTCAAATGCCATTCAATAAACTATTATAACATCCAAAGTAAGAAAAAAAAACCTGTTGCTTTACGAAATGAGTTTTATATACAAAACTTAAGTCTTATATAAAAAGACTTCACGAAATTTTGGGCTATTGCTTTTTACAACAATTAATTTGCATTATACTTTTGCCAACATACCTATCTGTTGCCCAGTTAATCAATCAAGAGATGTTAGTTCAGATTCTCCGTTCTTTTCTTCAGGGTTTTTTACTTAATTTATCATCTTGATTCTGCATCTCTCTCTTTTTTCTCTCTTCTAGGCTCTATTCATCTTACTGTCATTATTCTTTAGAATTTTTCTGTGCTTCTAGTCACATTTCTGAAGGAGCTAGTATTTCCCTCTGTGTCTTTACAGCTGCCTTTCTTACGTTTGTGTTACTTGAACCTCGCTCAGTTAACGACACAGGCCTTGCCAATATCTTCTGTACAGAAATCTAAGCCGGGCATATCTGGTATCTCATTAGTTTACTGAGGTAGTAGGGTTGTCTGTGTTTGACTTCAAGAAGCACCAAGATCAAATTACTCAGTTTCAGGGAAATCTATGGAACCTGAACTTTCCATCTCTTCATAACTCCTTCACTATACTGAATACTGTCCCACCAACATGCTACGAGAATCCAGAGCTATAGGCCTTGTAATAAAAACCTTATCGGACAGATTTCGAGCACTTGCTAGCTCGTATTACCGCTTCTTTTATAGGATCTATTTTCTGTGGAGTGGTTGCTCGTTGCTTGTATACCTAGTTAGCTGAGGCTTGCACTTTGAAGGCTCATGGGAGGGGTTGGATTGCACCTTTTAGAGTCGGCCTGCACTACTTGTAATATGAGAGGGGTGCTGTACTAGAGGACACCTCTCTGGGTGCCAGCTCGGCTTCAAACAAATATACCCGACACCAAGAAGCTTGTGCTTACATATGACGTGGAGTTGGCGTGGTTGATGAAGTACTGTAGTGTTCGGTTTACAGGAAACCTTTTATAATTTCCAGGAAAGATTTAACAGTTACGTCAGTCCATATGGCGTCCTTCTACTATTATACTATAAAATATCATTTCAAAACGACTGCGCACAGCTCGTCATATAACTATTTGAAACAATACAGTGTATAAGGGAAACATGGGCGGGGTCGCAGGAGAAACTTGTCCAGTGATCCGTCAGTTGAAAATGATAAGAATGACGGCTACGTGATGAAACTGGACTTTCACAGTTCAAAATGTATAATGCACACAAAATCACAAGAATGAACAAATACAAATGTAGAAGGGTTAACAACTGTAAAAAAAACAACATAAATCAATAACTTCAACGAAAGTTTCAATCGATGTTTTATTGAGAGTCAAAACCTATTGTATGTAATTATTAAACATACAAAAACAAAGCTTTGTCACTGAGATACAAAGACTGAAAAGTTATACAGGTTATAATCACCAGACAGTAACGAATAGAATGGAAAACTTATGATTAAAAACGTGTAGAAAATAATCTGTGGTGAAAAATGGTTGAGTTACAAGTAAATATGGAAACAGTTCATGGAAGACATTAATGTTTATGAAAGATAAAATAAGGCAAAAAATGGAAACAGTTCACGGAAGACATTAATGTTTATGAAAGATAAAATAAGCCAAAGAATGGAAACAGTTCACGGAAGACATTAATGTTTATGAAAGATAAAATAAGATAAAG